CTATGTAGACATCTAATTAAGACATAATTGTTAAACATAAATTTTTATGTGTATGTGTTGCATGCGTGAGTGAGATATTGATGTTGTAATACGTGTCAATGACACATAAATCGTCTGTGTGTAAGTGCTATTTATAATATGACTAGTCGTCTTTAGGATCCCAAGTAACTTTCAATAGGTTTTAACCATTGCTCGGTATTCATTAAAAAGTTATTAATAAAAAGGTTTAAGAAATAGCGTCTCATTTCTGCTACATATGTATTGGAGATCCCAAAACAGTCTGCATTAACGACTAAACCATAATTCTTGTATAAAAATTACTTCTCTCCTCTTTTACAGATTCGAAAAATCCTTTTTCAGGATTAATGTATATGCATGAATATGTGTCTGTGAGATGGATTTTATGCCGCAAACGACAAAAAATTTCGAAATTGAAATCTTAAGAAAAACTTTTTGTTGTTCTCGACATAAAATCCACTTCACAGATACATATTAATGTGTATACTTTAATCCTGGAAAAGGATTTTCGAGTTTGTAAAAGAGAAAAATAAGTGTTATACAAAAATTACGATTTAGTTGGTAATACAGACGGCTTTAGGAACCCTCGCTCTCTTTAAGGGGTTATTCCACCCTGCAACTTTCAAAGAATTGAACATTTCTTTTGTTTAAATCGATAGTTTAGAATCTTAAGAATATAAAATTTTTTTACCCGAAAGTGAAATTCCCAATATTAATGAAAATGCAGTTGATATTATGTGCATGTCGAGTGGTGCATAACAATCGATGCCTCCACGCCACCGTTAAACTGTTCTGTTTATGAATAGTTCCGTCATTATTTGACGTTATAGTTATATATCTGTATTGTAGATGACGTTGACACACAATTTTGATATAAATTATATTGGTTTCGGTTAGAAATCAGTGCGTCCATGTGTTTAAAATACGGCGAAAAGGGATTATTACTAGGGCTCTAATTTTATTCCGTTTTTCGAAGATACATGTAAACATAAAACGTTTATCCGTTTATATTCACTTTCAAAAAAACGTTTACTTGAAGATAAATACGTTTACACGTTTAATTAGTATTTATTTAATATAAATGTTTATAAAAAAAACATTTTTCCGAATATACGTGTTTTATTATAATTTTTAAACGAAAATACATATACATGTATATTTAACATATCCATCTATGAAAAACATCTTTTCGAATATTTTAACGTTTTTTATAAAATTAAAAATCGATTTTTTTGCATTTTCTCAATTCGTCACACACTTTAAAGGGATAAACGTTTATATAAAAAAAGTGAAAATATTCGGAAAAACGTTTCTAATAAACGGATATACTAATTATACGTGTGAACGTATTTTCGTTTAAACGTATAATAGCGAGTCCTAATTATTACTGAAACTTTAATCGTGTTTTTCTCAGAATGGTGTTTTCAAAAACAGTGGACACTATCATAAAATTAATCTAAATGCTTTGAAATTAGGCTCAGTTATTGTCAATTGAATTATCTGTGATTTTTGCGATAACTTATATATTTTTTTGTTTTTCATATCTTTATGTTGAATTTTTACGTGAAAATTGAAACTTCTTTTTCACGCATGCACCATTTTCACATTTTTCAATATTTTTTAATTCTGCCAGATATTTTTCTAGAAAATTTAATACAGATTAAAAGTAATTTTTTTATTGGTTATAACATAGGACCTGTTCTGCTGTCCATCGCGGACCTTCATCACATGCAGGCCTTCAAAAAACGTACTGTAGAGCCGCCATTTTGTTTTCAGAGTTATAATTTTTATACATTTTGTACATCAAAATACAAGTAACAAATAAGTATAAAAAGATATTTTGTATTATGTACAGTTTTTTAATAATCACCTCTCAAGGTAAGATATGATTTTGAGCTCCAGGGTGGAACTCCTTAAGTATTATACCTCCTATCCACATTCGTTTAAGAGGCATGACGACTTTCCGAGCGAAGCATGGTTCACCCCACCTCAACCCTGCCAATGGGCGTACGACTTTCTACTGGTTGAGAATCAAACTGTTATTAACAGTTAATATCTGTTATTTATTAGTTATCGGTAAATAAATAACGTAAATTCAAAATTATCTTCAATGTAAAACAACTGACATAAAAACAAATAATTCTTCTTTACTTAATATTATTAAATTACATTGCATATTTTTACTCTCTAAACAACAGAGACGCGCCCTACGTTCGTGTTATTTAACTTTTAATATTATATACTTATATACTCATAATAATTTAACTTTTGTGAGTTAACAATTCGAGTGATATAGCACTTAAATTTCATTGCAGGAAAAAGAATATTCTTGCGGAGAGCGTCAGATGTTTTTGGACATTGACCCTTTATTAACAAGTAATGTATTCAGTATGTACAGACACGTATTCTTCTGGATATAGGCATATTTGAAAATAAATGTTTATGACATCTTCAACTGAATAATTTTTTTTAATTTTAAAATATCTTGCTTAGGTGAGAATGTATAATATCATTCTTAGAAGCATTAAGGGATATTCATCATTTCGCCTCTACTCTATTGTACTCCCCTCATATTATTTCTTTGAAGACCAGAAATTGAACTGCATAAATATAATTCAGTTTCGATTGCATAGAATACGTAACATGTAATTATTGTTGTTCTCCTATAAGTTTAATGACTTTTGCTGTGTATGTACAGAAGATAGTAGACTTTTATTTATTTTTCGAAGAAGTATTGCTAAGAGACAAGTTAGTAAAAAAAAAGGAATTCATAATTAGCGGATAAGTCCTTCATTACTTTATAGATATTAGAATGTCAGTGTTCTTAGACTATCAACAGAAAATTATGAGATGTCCTACAAAAAATGAGCTCTATGTCGATTTGCTGTTATATGCCATATATAATGACGATTGATCCATACTTACGAGGGTGGGGATAAACTGCATGAGGTTGCATTTGAAAAAACCATCAGTGCTCTTTCAGCTCTTTAAATCGGAGTGCCAGATAAATGTGCTGACATTGATCTTCATTTCCTCATTTTCTCAATACTGATTACGAATGATAGTAACGAGTACTGTGAGTCCGCTGCTGAAGATCGGCCTTCGACTGCTTGGTGTGTGGCCGGGTGTGTCGTATTGTATTCCATATTGGCTAATATATGTATTTAGCATACTGATTATACAGTACTTCCAATATCGATATGTATTCGAGCACTTCAAGATCAGCGAGCTTTCGAATCTCGTCGATAGCTTACCCGCGGCCTTAGATTACAGCTTAACAATTATTAAAGTAATCACTCTTTGGATACGTCGTCGGTAAGATGTGTAGCTGCAAACGTTAGCTTCTTCCATCTAGTTTGAGACATAAAATTATTAAGAATTAAGATCCGACCGTGTAAATGTACAACATACATACGTTTGAGAGCGTTAATAATTGGTCAAAGTTAGATGTTACGAATATGATATATATTTTTAATTTAAAAAAAAAATTAGGTATATATTATATTTATAACATCTAGTTTTGACCGATTATTGGCGTTCTCAAACGTATGTATAAAACTATTAGTTATTACTCGCTACATTAATACACTACATTAATACACGCATTAAAAGTTTGTTTAAATTAAGTAAATTTGATAACTTGGTTTTTAATTTCTTAAATCATATAATATGTTTATTAACTTAAAATTTAAATATATCATTGTTGTTGTATACTTATATAGTAAATATACATTTAAAGTAATATGCCGAGTAATATGCTACGTTTATGAAAGTATTAGTTTCTTATTATACATATATATTATACATATATATTATCGGTTAGATCTTATATAAACGAAACGTGTCTTATAATCGGTACAATTAGAATAACGCATTATACAGAGTCATTCATCAGCTTCTGACTACTATGGATAAAGACTGGCAAGAGTGCGTCAATATTGATCAACATTTGTATGTAATGACAATTAAAGCCAATACATCGCATTTTTGTTCTAATATTATGTTTAGCATTAATACAATTGCTACGGTGTTGTACTTTTTGAGTTACGGCTACGCAATTCGTTTTGTACATCTGTCCGGAAATTACAATGATACTTTGCGGGAGCTTCCCATTAAGGTACACTTTCACTTTGAAACTCAACATTCACCAATTTTTGAGCTGCTGGTCATAATTCTATTTCTACAAGCGATGTTAAATGCGTGGATGCTCTTTATTCTAAACGCATTAATTTCTGCACTTGTAAGTCTCATCATAAATATTTTTTTTTAAACAAAGTTGTTTAATGGCTTGTGACATCAGTATTGACATAAAGAAATAAAACTTAATTATTAAAATTATATTTTTCTTGACTTATAAGATTTAGTTCTACACGAATTATTACACTCTTTATACATGTTATGTTATACAAACTTAATTTGATATAATCAAGATTTTATATCACTATTAAATAAATACAATAATTAGTTAATTAAATACTACTTATAAGCAATCTATATTTTATATTCTGGTTTTCTTTATAACGGGTAATTGTTTTACATAAGTACTTCTAATAATTGTGAACATGAATAGAAATTTAATTATACGTATGTTTGTGTAGGTGTTCCACGTAAGCGGACAAATCGATATATTATGTCAAGAATTTAAAAATATTTCTACAAAAGTTCTTCCTCATAAAACTTCTACATCGGTATTAGCTATATTGATTGAAAGACACAACAGAATTTTTTTGTTTTCTGACAAAATTGAAAAACTTTTCTCCTTTATTGCGTTAATGCAAGTTATCTGGAATACTTTTATAATATGTAGTTTAGGATTTATTGCCATAATTGTGAGTATTGCATTAAATGTCTTGTGATAAATATTACAGTTAATTTATTTGGTTACTATCATATTTTATTTGGTCTGTTTATCGAAACAGACATTTTATATTGAAACTGGCATTACAATAGTAAAAATTACTTTCACTTATCTTGCTGTGGTAATGGAAGTTTTCATCTTATGCTTTGCAGGAGAATATCTGAATTTCAAGGTTAGTAAGCATTTGGAAATCATCTGCAAGTATGATATATTTAATTTAATATGATTGTATATATACATATATATATATATGAAATATTTATTAAATAAGGACATAACACCGGTAATATATACTAGGGGCGTATCTTAATTTTAATTTTAATTTAAGTTATGCCCTTAAATTACAAGGGAAACGTCGAGTGCCATGCGTATCACTAATGTCGTGTTCGGGAACGTATCATGTATTTATTTTTTTGAAAAAATTGGTGAATTTATTAGCACGAAATTCTATAAAATCGGTAGGCATTTAAACAAAGAAGTTCATCCATGCCCCACAGCTTGTAATATAGTAACAATATTGTAGTGACATTTCGAAGTTGCTGTAATATGACATGCTAATACCATATATCAATAATGTTATGTATAAATGTTGTGCTGCAATATTAAGTATAAATCTGCGAAAATTTATTGCAGAAATATTTGAGCAATATTATGATAATATTCCAGTAATATTAAAGAACGTCATTTATCACTAATTTAATTTTAATGCTGAATAATAAAGAATTATATTGTCCAAATACGTCTTATTTAGGTTAGCATAAAATAATTTTTACATTTCTCATGTGTAACTCAGTTACGAAACAACATAATATTTCTGATTGGTTAACCCCTATCATTTGTCATTTTTGTTCTATTCCGTTATTTCTGAGTTCATATGATCGCTTACATATGCACGCTTACAATGCTACATAGCTTCATTGCTTTCATCTTTTATAATAAACGGTATAATATAGTCTTTTAAATACATAAATTTTTTTTCAAATTTTTGTTACTTATCAATTTACAATAATAAAAAAAATTAAGGAATCTTTTACATTTATATAAAGAAGATTTTTACACAATACTTGTTTCAATGAGAAAGAATTATTAACAATATTATTAGTCATTTTTTATATTATTATTTTCAGAGTAAATCAATCGCCAATGCAGCATATGAATCATTATGGTACAATTTACTGTCAAATCAAAAGAAAACTATAATATTCGTAATAATGAGATCTCAAAAACAAATCATGATCACGGCAGGGAGAATCACGAATTTATCTTTGGAAACTTTCACGAGGGTAAGTTTATTGTATATAATTTTTAGTAAAATAAAATTTTATGCATTTTCCAAGAAACACACCTTAGTAAATTTATTTTTAAAATTCCTTTTTATATTAGTATTCTAATAAAATTCTTTTAGATCTTAAAAACGTCAGCATCATACGTATCTGTTTTACATGCGATGTATTGATGTCAACAAATAATTTAGTTGATATCGTGATGTTATTAGTATTATTAGTATAACACGTTAATATAGAGAATTATTATATTATTAAATTATTTTCGATAAATCAATAGTATTGAATATTTATGCTGTTTTAAGATTTATAGATCTTTAGGTTGTACAATTTAGAATTATATTCAATTTAATTTAAATCTGAATATCCGTATCTGTTTTTTCCTTTCGTTTAACCTTACATGATAAAATATTTTCTTACTCAGAAAGAAGAAAAAGGGAAATAGGAAAAAAGGACTGCATCTTTTTTTTGCGTCGATTGACTCAAATACCGAGACTTTTTTTTAGATCTGAGCATGTGTAGTTTACGTCAACATATCCGTATTTGTGTTAATATATAATTGAATTTCTATAACACGTGTAATTGATGTTAATATTTTGAGTTTCCTTCACATACATTTTCTGAGAATATTCTTGAAAATCGAGTTTATATTTCAAAAATAAATGACATATTTTTAAAACATTTGATTTTTATAAATTATCTCGATTTTTTATTTATTGATGTGATAAAATTCAAATTTAAAAGGACCCTAAAGTCGTTTGTATTACTGAGTAAACCATATAATGTTTGTATAACAAATACCTTTTTCCTTTCTTACTGATTAGGAAATCCTTTTCCAGGATAGAAGTATATGCATTAATACGTGTCTATGAGATGGAGTCTATGCTGAGTACGACAAAAAATTTCAAAATTGAGATCTTCTTTATGATTTCTTAGTCCAATATGGCGCTCTAGAGCTGTCACGTCGTGACGTCATTTACTTCATATAAAAGGCGTGCAATCTGTACTTACAAAATAGTAGTCCATAGACTATCTAGCAGTTTGCATGAAGAAACAGCGTGGAATTCTCAAAATTGGACCTATGTAGACATCTAATTAAGACGTAATTGTTAAACAAAAATTTATGTGTATGTATTGCATGCGTGAGTGAGATATTGATGTAGTGATGTGTTAATGACACATAAATCGTCTGTGTGGAAGTGGTATTTACAATATGACTAGTCGTCTTTAGGATCCCAAGTAACTTTCAACAGGTTTTAACTGTCGCTCGTTATTCATTAAATAGTTATTAATAAAAAAGTTTAAGAAATAATGTCTCATTTCTGCTACCTACATATGTATTGGGGATCCCAAAACCATCTGTATTACCGACTAAATCATAGTTCTTATATAAAAATTTTTTTCTCTTTCACAGATTCGAAAATCCTTTTTGCAGGATTTAAGTATACTCATTAATACGTGTTTGTGAGGTGCAGTTTATATCGAGAACGACAAAAAATTTCCAAATTGATACATTTTTTACCATTTCTTAGTGTAGGGGAAAGTGAGGGAACTGTGTGCAGCGGTAATTGTGCGCATCCTGATTTGGTATTTCTCCAATGGATGAAGACATTACTGTGGTGAGATTTTTACGCAGGAGGTCGTCCTCTTAAGATATAACTACAAAAGATGCGACGCAAATATGTTGCTAACCAGAGAAATACAAAAAAGTGAAATCACATCTTTTCTTGTTATTTTAGCATTCAGAAAATAAGGTGGTAAGTTCGTATTTTTAATTTGTTTGTTTAAAATTGCATACGTTATTAAAGTATGTTATTATGTATGTCTTTTGAGCTGTTATTTATTAAGTTTGGTTAAGAAATGTTGAAGTAATCGTATTTCATATTGATTCAGGTCGCGGCGGGCAACTGTGCGCAAGCGTTTTGAAGTGCGCACAACTACCCATCTTTCATATACTATATGACTAGCACTAATTTTTTCGTTTTTCCTTTGCATTATTATTTTATTTTTTGCCAAATTCTATATGTATTATTATTATATTAGTTTTGTATTTTTGCTTAGTATATACAATATATATTTAAAATCTATTTAATATATATTTATATTGCAATATATTGTAATAAATATATTTTCTGATTTCTTTGTCAACATTCCATAATTCATTTATTTCCTACGACTTTTGCTTTGCGCACAATTATTCAACCCATGCGCATAATTATCTGACGCGCGAGAAATTTATTCGCTTTTCCATTTTTTCCTTTTTGCCAAATATCACCTTATTGAATGAAAACCTGTTCGAAATGAGGATACGTAATGGTAGAATAATATTGATAGTTTCTATTTTTGTACTTATACCGCTTTGAATTTGGAAAATCATTCCAGGACAATAAATTTCCCTTAGGTGCGCACAATTCACCCACTTTCCTCTAACATAGCGTCTCAAGTTGTCAAATCATGACAACATTTACTTGATAAGAAAGTTTTGCAACCTATACTTACGAAATAGTGCTCCACAAACACATAATTTGCACAAACAGATAACGTCGAGTCCTTAGAATTAGACTTAGACGCTTTATCGCGACGAATTTGTTACACGAAAATTGACACGAATGTACTGAATGTATCATAGAATGAGTGAGATATTTGTGTGGTAGTATATAAAAACATGTCGATGCGCTGGAAACACAGCGAAATCTAGTGATTTTGTCGGAGTTCTAGCTTCGCTTTAGGATCCCCTTCAATATTATACCCCATATCTACATTCGCTTAAGAGGCATGACGATTTCCCGAGCAAAGCATGTTCCACCTCACCTTAACCCTGCCAATGGGCGTACTTTATACAACTTTCTACTGATTGAAAACTAAATTGTTATTAACTGTTAATATCAGTTATTTGTTAGTTATCAGTAAATAAATAACTTAAATTCAAAATTATCTTCAATGTAAAACAACTAATATAAAACTAATATAAAACTAATATAAAACAAATAATTTTTGTTTACTTAATATTATTACATTACATTGCATATTTTTACTCATTAAACAATACAGATACGTTTTACGTGCGTATTATTCAACTTTTAATATTACTTTTATATACTTATACACTCATAATAATTTAACTTTTGTGAATTTTCAAGACATCATGTGTTGAGAATTAATTTTGCAGTACAAAACAAAAAAACCAATCAGAATCACGAAAAAAATGTAACATTCGATTATCGATTTAGCATTTAAATTTTATTGCAGGAAAAAGAATTCCTGCGGAGAACGTCGGACGTTTTCAGACATTGACTCTTTATTAACAAGTAATGTATTCAATATGCATAGACACGTATTCAGTTGGATATAGGCATATTTGAAACTAAATGTTTATAACGTCTTCAACTGAATAACTTTTTTTAATTTTAAAATATCTTGCTTAGGTGAGAATGCATGATATCATTCTTAGAAACATTAAGGGATATTCGTCATTTCACCTCTACTCTGTTGTTCTCCCCTCACATTATTTCTTTGAAGATTAGAAATTGAACTGCAGAAATATAATTCAGTTCCGATTGCATAGAATACATGACATGTAATTATTGTCGTTCTGCTATAAGTTTAATGACTTTTGCTGTGTATGTACAGAACATAGTGCACATTTATTTATTTTTCGAAGAAGTGTTGCTAAGAGATAAGTTCGTAAAAAAATGGAATTAACAATTACGCATCAAATAATAAATTTAGCGGATAAGTCCTTCGTTACTTTATAGATATTAGAATATCAGCGTTCTTAGACCATCAACAGAATATCAGCGTTCTTAAACTATCAATAGAAAATTATGCGATGTCCATAAAAAAAATGAGCTTTATCTCGATTTGCTGTTATATGCCATACATAATGACGATTGATCCATACTTACGAGAGTGGGGATAAACTGCATGGGGTTGCATGTGAAAAAACCGTCAGTGCCTTTTCTGTTCTTTAAATCGGAGCGCTAGATGAATGTGCTGACATTGATCTTCATTTCCTCGTATTCTCAATACTGATTACGAATGATAATAACAAGTACTGTGAGTCCGCTGTTGAAGATCGGCCTTCGACTGCTTGGTGTGTGGCCGGGTATATCGTATTGTATCCCATATTGGCTAATATATGTATTTAGCATACTGATTATACAATACTTCCAATATCGATATGTATTCGAGCACTTCAAGATCAGCGAGCTTTCGAATCTCGTCGATAGCTTACCCGCGGCCTTAGATTACAGCTTAACAATGATTAAAGTAATCACTCTTTGGATACATCGTCGGTAAGATGTGTAGTTGCAAACGTTAGCTTCTTCCATCTATTAAATTTGAGACATAAAACTATTAGTTATTACTCATTAATACACGCATTAAAAATTTGTTTAAATTAAGTAAATTTGATAACTTGGTTTTTAATTTCTTAAATCATATAATATGTTTATTAATTTAAAATTTAAATATATTATTGTTGTTGTATACTTATATAGTAAATATACATTTAAAGTAATATGCCGAGTAATATGCTATTTTTATAAAAATGTATTAGTTTTTTATTATACATATATTATCGGTTAAATCTTATATAAACGAAACGTGTCTTATAATCGGTACAATTAGAATAACGCATTATACAGAGTCATTCATCAGCTTCTGACTACTATGGATAAAGACTGGCAAGAGTGCGTCAATATTGATCAACATTTGTATGTAATGACAATTAAAGCCAATACATCGCATTTTTGTTCTAATATTATATTTAGCATTCATACAATTGCTACGGTGTTATACTTTTTGAGTTACGGTTACACAGTTCGTTTTGTATATCCGTCCGGAGATTACAATGATACCTTGCGGGAGCTTCCCATTAGGGTACAGTTTCCCTTTGAAGCTCCACATTCACCAATTTTTGAGCTGCTGGTTGTAATCCAATTTGTACATGTCATGTTAATTGGGTGGACGCTCTTTATTCTAAACGCATTAATTTCTGCTCTTGTAAGTCTCATCTTATAAATATCTTTTTTTAAACAAAGTTGTTTAATAGCTTGTGACATCAGTATTGATATAAAGAAATAAAATTTCATTATTAAAATTATATTTTTCTTGACTTATAAGGTTTAGTCGTAAACGAATTATTACTCGTTATATGTGTTATGTCATACAA